CAAGAGAGATTTTAGATGAAAGCTCTATGGATGATTGTCAAAAGGCTCTTCCTAAGGGCCTTGCAGATCCAAGACTTAGGGGGTTAAGAACACAAGAATTACAACTGAGCCTGGCCCTGAGACAAAGAGCCTAATTTAGAGTTAAGGTACAGATAAGGGCAGAACTTAAGTCAATACTTACACCTTCTTCTAGTTGGTGACTATGGCAGTCCCTTCCCCAAGGCCTACTTTCTGCAAACACCCTCCCTTACAGGTGGCTGGGATGAGGATAGATAAGAGGAGCTAAAGCATTACCCACAAACAAAAGGCTGACACATTTAGGGCCTCCATGGTGTTCACACATTCAGCATCAAATAGGTTTCCACAAACAACTTATTAACCAACTCAAAAACATACATTTGAGAGTCAGACAGAATGACTCTTAGCCCATCTATACACTTAACCTATGACGTAACCTTAGCGTTATTAACTTAGAACAAATATGTATCCTGTCTTTTACTAAGAGTACCCTAATTCTCTAGTTATAAGATTTACTTAACCTCACTATAATTGCAATAGTTCTGCAAGAATATTTCTGTAAAACCTGCTTCTGTACACTTTCCAAAGCATCTTATCACAAAGAGTTATCCATTGTAAAAATTCCTTTTTCTGATGTCATGTTATCATTTAACCTGTAAATAAAGACACCAAAACCAGCAGGACAGAGATGCCTGCCAGGTGATCAGAAAGGATCTCGGGGCTCTCTAACTCTCTCACTCGCCGACACCGTCCATCCTTCAGGGACCCCTGGACCTGCTGGAGCCGGCTCGGCCTCCAGCATAAAACATTCTATGATAGCAGATGTTTGTACTACATTCAATAAGATAAAGATAACCAAGTAAAGGCCACTAAATTTGACAGTAAGCAATTTAAAAATTGTCCAAGATTAATGTATCACTTTTCAAGGGTACAAAGCAATTAACTTTTATAATTTTACATTTTGTCCTTGATGTAAAGATTCTGAGGCGGGGCCATAAGTTGTGCTCACCTTCATACATCTAGCACCTACTGCCACGTGATGAGAAATCGAATCCCCACCACCACCCTTCTAATAACAGAACCTCTTATCATATCTTCTAAAACTAAAGATTCCTACTGACAAGGAGATTTCAGGTCTTACTCCCCTTGACACATGCACTACCCTTTTTACAGAACCTAAATATCCCATCAGACAAATACTATGAACTTTTTCCAATGTTGCCATCAAATGCTTTCAAAGAGCCTTTTGAACCAAGGTAGTACTACAAGATCCACCTTGCTCAATCTTTGATGAGCATCATGTCACATCATCTTCCCTACCCAAGGGTCATCAAGACAGCCTCTCCCCTGCTAACCATAAAGCAAATCTTGGAGGCAGTACAGGCTACTAAATGTACCAAAGAAAAGTCTGTCATGTTTTCATGTTAAGGAACTGGGTATGATGGGCTCCAACCTCTGGCTAGTGAGCTCTCTCTTTCCTGCAATGCAGGCGTATAATCAGGGAAGCCTTATTTATGAACTTTGTGGCTTTTATGGTCTACAACAATTGCAAGGATATAGAAATTACTCTAAAAGAATTTGGTAAGTGAATGAGTGATTCGCACTCTATGTTACGACCGCCAGACAGCCATCCACCCGTGAATATCAGCAGCATTGGCTTTGCCTTGTTTAAAGCATGAAAAGAAATGGGTTTATCTATAAGTCATTGGGATATAAACATTCTAAGTCCTAAAAGCAGAATAATGAAAGGGCAAAGTAAGAGGATAAAACAAAAGCTAATATATGAGATTTTTGTCTTTAAAAATAAAACAAAACACCCCATAAAAACATACTTTATATGCATATTAAAAATTCTAGGAAAGATTAGAGAATGAAGGATATGGGAATAACTGAAATCATTAGAAGGAAGTAAAGTGTATTTTTCAAAGACTACAGGCAAGGGGAAATCTTCATAGGAAGTAGCCAAAGAAAACCAGCATAAAAGTGGTCACCCAGAAAATGGCCACATTTTTCTTATGTTTCATTTCCAAGATGTCACTACCAAAA